CACCTAGTTTCTTCTTGCTTCTTATAGTAACATCTGAGACTTCGCTCAATCATGGGAAGAACTGTTAAAAAGAAACCAGGACCTCCTGGTTTGAAAATTCTCAGCCTCTCAAGAGGCAAAAAATGCTATAATGAAGAAATGGCCTCTGAAGGAAGGCTCAGATTTATTATGAGTTTTCTTAGCCTCATGTACCCCTCTTATCTGGTTGCAAAGGTGTGTTTATATGTATGATTGTTATTTGATATTAATGTTGATTCATTCCAGGTGAAGAGGAGTGACTTTTATTTCTACCTGAAACATGGATTGTAAAGTATTTGGGTTGTTTCAGGAGGTTGAGATTCAAACATGCAACATGTGATAGAAAAAGGGCCCTCTTAAGCCTCAGTAACCCCTGCTGTAAATGGCCATGGGAACTCTACCAAAACCAAAGAAGAGCCAGGGCTACCAATGGCAAGAACAGTGCTTTTGGGCTCATCCTACAAGAAGTTGCTTAGAGAACCAGAGATGGCAGGTACCAGCAGCCTTCAGTCGTGCTTCTGGAAGCAGAAGGAGAAAAACTGTAGGTGTCCGGTCACTGGCCACAAAAAGGTCAGATTAGTAGTATGAAGTATTTGAATCTTGAGACCCTCCCAGCTTCATAATCTCTACCTTTTGGCCCAAATTGTTACACCATTTTGGTAAATGATATAAAAGTTAGTTATTTTGGCAATAACCAAATCTAATCCTTTGTTTGAGGGGAATCATGAAATATGCTGGTTGACTATAAAGCATTCTGTTGTTAAGTTAGTTTTTTCTTCCTAAAAATTTTTTTTTTTTTTTAAAGAAAAACACTAAAGTTGTAAACATATAAAGCAGGGTTCGTCAGCCTTGGCACTGCTGGCATTTGGGGCTATATTATTTTTTGTTGTGGAGGCTGTCCTGTGCGTTGTAGGATACTTAGCACTCTTGGCCTCTGCCCTCTAGATGCCAGTAGTACCTCCCCCACCCACTTCCTCTGCAGGTTCTGAGAACGAAAAATGCCTACAGACATTGATGCCTAATGTCTCCTGGGCAACAAAATCACTTCCTACAGAGAACCACTGTGATAAAGGAAAAAATAATCAAAAAGAAAAAAGAAATGATGATAGCATTTAATTGTCCATGTGTTCATATTATTTACCTAAATAACTATTGATCCGTGTTCTGCTTTGAAAACATAATATATGTGTTAAGGAATTGTAAGTTAAGGCAATATACCAGTTTGGTCTTGAATGTTGGAATTTTTGTTTCAGAGAAAATATGGTAGATTTTCCTCACTTGACAAATGAGGAAATCTGAAATATTTAGCAGTGTAGCCAAGAAAGAATCCAGTTTATTAATGTTTGACCCAGGGAGTACTTTTCTTATTTAAGCAGTCTGCTTGATGTAAATATAAATCATCATCATCATTATTATCATCCAAGGCACTTTGAAAAACTATAAACTTCTGGCTCTCTCACAATTTTTGAGGATACTTATAAAGTACGTTTGGAAGCCACTGTTCTTGTTCACATTGCCATTCATTTATTTGTTTTAATTATATAAGTAAATCATGTTTAGTAGAGTCTTCCAGCTAGGTAAGATTGAATAACCATAAATTTGAGGTCACTTTGCTAACTGTATACATTCATGTTTATCTATAAAGAAGTGAAGGGAGAAGGGAGAGGTGTGTGTGTTCAGTTTTCCAAGGGGTGTTGGTCAGCGTTTTACACTGAACAGTGGGGAAAAATGACTACCTTTTTTTTTTCTTTTTTTAAAAGAACGTAATGCAGTGGCACAGTCACAGCTCACTGCAGCCTTGACCTCCTGGGCTCAAGCGATCTTCCTCAGCCTCTCAAATAGCTGGAGCTACAGGCATAGGTTTCCTTACCTGGCTTATTTTTCAATTATTTGCAGAGACAGGGTCTCCAACTCATGAGTTCAAGAGATCCTCCCACGTCAGCCTCCTCAAGTGCTGGGATTACAGGCGTGAGCCACCGCACCTGGCCCATGACTACTTTTAATAACTAGATTTTGGTAGTGTCTGATTAGATGTTAAAATGACCTCTGTCTGTTATCTTACAATGACTCTTTCAAGTCTTACCAACAGATGTTTTCTAAAAGGTTTAAAAGAGTAACAACAAGAAGAAATGTTGGATATGTTTTGTAAAAACTCTGTATGCCCCAGAGAGCAGAATGTTGATGAAACTGTAATGTGTGGCTTCTTTGTTCAATCTCTAGGTATCTATTCCTATACTATAGAAAAAGTGTTGATGGTGTAATAGTATTATGTGTAGAATTGAGAGGTTGGTGGTATTTTAGAGTGAAATTGGCCATCCTTAGCAAAGCCATTTCCTCTGCAGATGTTTGTATTAGTCTGTTTTCATTCTGCTGATAAAGACATACTCAAGACTGGGGAGAAAAAGATGTTTAATTGGACTTACAGTTCCACTTGGCTAGGGAGGCCTCAGAATCATGGCAAGGGCAAAGGGCACTTCTTACATGGCAGTAGCAAGAGAAAAATGAGGAAGAAGCAAAAGCAGAAACCCCTGATAAACCCATCAGGTCTCGTAAGACTTATTCACTATCACAAGACTAGCACAGAAAAGACCAGCCCCCATGATTCACTTACCCACCCCCTTCATCCCTCCCACAACACACGGGAATTCTGGAAGATACAATTCAAGTTGAGATTTGAGTGGGGACACAAAACCAAACCATATCATGCCGCCCCTGGCCCTTCCAAATCTCATGTCCTCACATTTCAAAACCAATCGTGGCTTTCCAACAGTCCCCCAAAGTCTTATTTCAGCATTAACCCAAAAGTCCACAGTCCAGAGTCTCATCTGAGACAAGGCAAGTTCCTTCTGCCTATGAGCCTGTAAAATCAAAAGCAAGTTAGTTACTTCCTAGATACAATGGGGGTACAGCTATTGAGCAAAATACAGCCATTCCAAATGGGAGAAATTGGCCAAAACAAAGGTGTTATAGGGCCCATGCAAGTCCAAAGTCCAGTGGGGCAGTCAAATCTTAAAGCTTCAAAGTGACCTCCTTTGACTCCAAGTCTCACATCCAGGTTATACAGATGCAAGAGGTGGGTGCCCATGATCTTGGGAAGCTCTGCTCCTGTGGCTTTGCAGGGTACAGCTGCCCTCTCAGCTGCTTTGATGGGCTTCTGTCGAATATCTGTGGCTTTTCCAGGAAAGCTGTCAGTGGATCTACGATTCCAGAGTCGGAAGGATGGTGGCCCTCTTCTCACAGCTCCACTAGGCAGTGCTGCAGTGGGGACTCTGTGTGGGGTTGGAAGTGGGGCCCCAACCCCATATTTCCCTTCCATACTGGCCTAGCAGAGGTTCTCCATGAGGGCCCTGCCCCCTGCAGCAAACTTTTGCCTAGGTATCCAGGTGTTTCCATACCTCATCTGAAATCTAAGCAGAGGTTCCAAAACCCCAGTTCCTGACTTCTGTGTACCCGCAGGCTCAACACCTCGTGGAAGCTGCCAATGCTTGGGGCTTCCACCCTCGGAAGCCACAGCTGGAGCAGCTGGGACACAGGACACCAAGTCCCTAGGCTGCATACAGCCCAGGGGCCTGGCCCAGGAAACCACTTTTTCCTCCTAGGCCTCTGGGCTTGTGATGGGAGGGGCTGCCGAGAAGGTCTTTGACATGGCCTGGAGACATTTTCTCCATGGCCTTGGGGATTAACATTAGGCTCCTTGCTACTTATGTACATTTCTGCAGCCAGCTTGAATTTCTCCCCGGAAAATGTGTTTTTCTTTTCTAATTCATAGTCAGGCTACAAATTTTCCATTATGCTCTGCTTCCTCTATAAAACTGAATGCCTTTAACAGCACCCAAGTCACCTCTTGAATGCTTTGCTGCTTAGTAATTTCTTCCACCAGATGCCCTACATCATCTCTCTCAAGTTCAATGTTCCACAGATCTCTAGGGCAGGGGCAAAATGCCACCAGTCTCTTTGCTAAAACATAGCAAGAGTCACCTTTGCTTCAGTTCCCAACAGGTTCCTAATCTCCATCTGATACCACCTCAGCCCAGATTTTATTGTCCACATCGCTATCAGCATTTTGCACAAAGCCATTCAAGAAGTCTCTAGGAAGTTCCAAACTTTCCCACATTTTTCTGTGTTCTTCTGAGCCCTCCAAACTGTTCCAATCTCTGCCTGTTACCGGTTCCAAAGTTGCTTTTCATTTTCTGATATCTTTTTAGCAACACCTCACTCTACTGGTACTAATTTACTTTATTAGTCTGTTTTCATTCTGCTGATAAAGACATACCCAAGACTGGGAAGAAAAAGATGTTTAATTGTGCTTACAGTTCCACATGGTTGGGGAGGCCCCAGAATCATCGGGGGAGGCCCCAGAATCATGGGGGGAGGCTAAAGGCACTTCTTACGTGACAGTGGCAAGAGAAAATGAGGAAGAAGCAAAGTGGAAACCTCAGTAAACTCATCAGCTCTCATGAGACTTACTCACTATCACGAGAATAGGACAGGAAAGACCGGCCCCCGGTTCAATTACCTCCCCCTGGGTCCATCCCACAACACATGGGAATCCTGAGAGATACAATTCAAGTTGAGATTTGGATGGGGACACAGCCAAACCATGTTAATGTTGAATACAATCTGTATTATCAAATATTGAAAATTCTAGTGATGAAATGAATTGAGGATTATTGTTACAGTAGTCAGTGCATTTGATTATAAAATTTCTATTATGGGAATGTATTGCTTCATGCTGTATTTGTGTTTCTTTTATATTGCAATAATATTTCCATAATTTAAAATGAATCAGAATTCTTCTATAGATTTTTCAATAAAATTAATTTCTAGATAACTATTCTTGATTTAAATAATTTTGGTATCCTGGTGAATTCTACTGTTCTTCAAATATGCATATCTGACTAATGTGGCCTCTTATAATAAGGTTTTCCAATGTGAATGTAACTTTCTTACAATTGTCCATTTTACTTTTGAATCTCTTACAGTACCTATACCAACTAATGTTACAATTGAGTCCTATAACATGAAACCTATCGTATATTGGGAGTACCAGATCATGCCACAGGTTCCTGTTTTTACCGTAGAGGTAAAGACGTATGGGTGAGTGTCAGTCTTTTATTTATCCATTTTATTCCGTTTCTGTCTAGGTCCCTGCAAGTTTGGCAACCATCTGTGTTACTGTTTTATCATCCTTCCCACATGGCAAAACATCCTGAACTGCTTGTAGATGTCCAAAAGTGCTAAAGATGCAAATTCTTTGCAAAATATTTCTTGCCTCTTACTTCCTCTTCCTATCAGTATTGAAGTAGAGAAATATCACTAACTTCTGGGATTAGCATGACAAATAAAGCTAATAGTTACTGTGTCATCTTCCTGTAGTGTATGTACTTTTTAGTAGAACAATATACATTTCAAAAAAAATTTTGACAACTGTTAGTTTTTGTAGTGTGCTTAATCCCATAATTAACGTGTATACTGAGGGAATCCAGAGTTGTTTAAAAAGTATTGGTAGTACTTCTAACTAAAGAGTAAGGGCTTCCTACTTTCTCTAGTGTCTCCATCCTATTCTTACTCTGCCCTTTCTCCCGCTCTGTGCTGTGAATGAAAAGCAAAGCACAGACAGAAATGGTTTGAGTTTATTTGATAACAATAAAAGTTATCTTTGTGTTTTTTTATTCTTTTTAGTTATGGAGACTGGATTGTTGCCTGCACCAATATTTCTCATCGTTATTGTAATATTTCTGACCATGTTAATGATCCATTAAATTCTCTTTGGGTCAGAGTTAAAGCTAGAGTTGGACAAAAAGAATCTGCCTATGCAAAGTCAGAAGAATTTACTGTATGCCAACATGGTGAGTAGAATGTGTACACATGTAAATTTTAAAGAGGAAAATATTTATACATGTCTTCTGTATATATTTGCTTTTATTAGCAGTTGCTGAAAATTATCACAGCAATGCTTAAGAAAGATTTGGAGGAAGGCCGGGCGCGGTGGCTCACGCCTGTAATCCCAGCACTTTGGGAGGCCGAGGCGGGTGGATCACGAGGTCAAGAGATCGAGACCATCCTGGTCAACATGGTGAAACCCCGTCTCTACTAAAAATACAAAAAATCAGCTGGGCATGGTGGCGCATGCCTGTAATCCCAGCTACTCAGGAGGCTGAGGCAGGAGAATTGCCTGAACCCAGGACGCGGAGGTTGCGGTGAGCCGAGATTGCGCCATTGCACTCCAGCCTGGGTAACAAGAGTGAAACTCCGTCTCAAAAAAAAAAAAAGATTTGGAGGAATTTAGGGAGTCAGTACAGGCTGAGCATCCCAAGTCTGCAAACCCAGAATGCTCCAAAATCTGAAACTTTATGAATGCCAGCATGGCACTCAAAGGAAATACTCACTGGAGCATTTCGGATGTTCAGATTTGGAAAGTTCAGCTGGTAAGTATAATTCAGATATTCCAGAATCCAGAAAAACTCAGAAACTGAAAACACTGCTGATCTCAAAGATTTCGGATAAGGGATACTCAACCTGTATGCTCCCCTTCTTTCAAGCCCCACAAAATAGGGCTAACAGGTGGCCATCGCTTTGCTGCTTCTAAGCCAAATATATGACATTTCCACTTCATACAGATAAGGGTCTGTGCTGCCCACCTGTCCTCTGCACCACCCTTTCCTTTCCCATCTTTTGTCATTAATTTCTAAGTTATATTCACTGAGGACTTTGGCAGCTAACTCTTATTCTTAATGCCTGTGGGAGTTTGAACACCACCTTAATGCATTAAAAAATTGTAGAGTTCCTTATTCTCTTCAGCCACCGTGATTTTTAGGTCTTCATTCTTCCAGCATCCCACTCACATAGTGTACCTGATGTTTGCTGTCACCTCAAACTCCAGAATCTTTAGTGCCAGTTCCTATTTTCTGACTTTGACGTCCTACCTTAGCTCTCAGACCCTCACTCCTGGGTAAAAAAACTTTTAGTCACTTGACTCCTTCCTGGTCTTCTAGCTCTTGGGTACCTTCTCTTTTAGCTTCACTTCCTTGCTCTGCTGCGGCCTTTCAGATTGTGCCTCCTTGATCTCTTCTACAGGCTGTTCCTCTCCTTTGTCTTTAAATACTTTTCTTCCCCAGAGTCCACACGTTTGTCATCTGATTACCACACCATCTGCATGTTAGATGTTTTTCCATACAGATTTATCAAGGGCCTACTATGTGCCAGAAAGTATACTGGGCCCTGAGAATATGTTGATGTGTAAAAACAGACCTGCCTGGCACACAGTAAATATGTGAAGACTAGATAAATCGTTCACCAACAAACTCAAACGTCAAAGACCTAATAAATATGTATTGAATAAGTTCTGATTTTTCACAGTAAAAAGAGTTTTGGTTAGGGATGATAACGAATGCCATTTCTGAAACGTTTTTTAGAAACTAGGGTCCTTAATCTACAAAAGCAAAGATAAAGGAAAAATTACTTAATAGAGTTTATATTATGTGAAGTCTTTTTAACCAAAATCTATAACTATTTTTGTTTACAACTAGAAATGAAATTAAACTGCTAAAGAGGCAATTTAGATTAAACAACAGTACTTCTTGCCTGAGATATATGAAACATTTGTTTGTTAAGGACACTTAGTCTATCTTCTAGATATCTGTGGAGTGGTTTAAATGTGGTTCTGCTTTAGAACAACCAGAACAAAAAAAGAGTAGGTCGATTTATAGATTCTGGTAATTTTATGAAATGTACCATGAAGTTCCAAGGCCAGGACTTATTATACTTCCTCCTCCTCCTTCCCCAGGAAAAATTGAACCACCTAAATTGGGTATCAGAAAGGAAGAGAAGCAAATCACAATTGACATATTTCACCCTTCAGTTTTTGTAAATGGAGAAGGGCAGGAAGTGGATTATTATGATGAAATTACCTGTTACATTATTGTGTACAATGTCTATGTGAGAGTGAACAAAAGTGAGGTATGTGTTTCTGTTTCAGATTTTTCATAAAGGGAATTCTTGTGTAGCTGGTAAAAGTTGTTTCTTTCTGTAGTGTAATGAAAATAGAATGATTATAAATATTCAAGCAAGACTCACAGAGCATAGATTTGGATAAGAAAAAAATATGTGGATTGTATTAAAGCAGCAATGTTAGGGAGCTAGCCACTAACACTGACCATGTGAATACATTTTAAGTTTTCATTTGCTTCATTAAGTGGAATGGCCCGAATCTAGGATTTTTCCCAGTACACCTCCGTTGCTCCACCTGTTAAATGGGGATTTTCTTCCTCATTGGCGGTGATGTAAAGTAATAATAGCACTTCTGCCTCTCACCAGCTAAATTCCTGGTACTCTAAGAATAGGACAAATGAACATTTGTTAGTTTAACAACTAACAATAAACATTCCTGCAATTTGAGTTTTTAAATTTACAGTCTTTATAAGGAATATTTGAACAGATGCATAGTATCGTGCTATGCTGAAGTAACAAGTTGACTTATTTGGTATCAAAGCTATTTTTAGACATGTTCAACGTCAGTCATATATGTTTTCTTCAGTCGTATATGTTTTCTTCAGTTGTGGTCAGGACTAATAGGGTGATTTTTTTTTTTTTTTTGCAGATTAAAAGAAGCTATGCATTTTCACTGTTTTCTTTTTCCATCCAGATCCTGTATAAAGTATCCACAAAGATGGAAGATGATTGCAACGAGATTCAGTGCCAGTTAACAGTTCCAGTGCCCTCACTGAATTCCCAGTACTGTGTTTCAGCAGAAGGAGTCTTAAATGTATGGGGTGTTACAACTGAAAAGTCAGAAGAAATTTGTGTTACCATTTCCAATAGCAGCATAAAAGGTAAGTTCTTGCCATTTTCTTAATATACAGGGAGGAGTAACTAAAATAGGATCATGTGGAAAACAAATTTATTTGCAGTTTCAAAAGATCTGTTTTAACAATATTCAGTTCTATTAGTTCCATCCCTTAGAGAAGTTCAAAATTAAAAATAAGGCAATTTCTCACTCATTAAAAGATGTGGAGCAACCAATTAGGAAAGCCATGTGATGGCCCCTTGACCCAGGAAAGAAAAAAATCATAATATAAGTACATAAAACTATGCAAATGTTTACATTTCAGGATTATGGATTATAAGTCAGTTTGTTACTTCAGCATAGTAAGATGCTATGAATCCACTAAAATGTTCTTTATGGAGATTGTAATTTAAAGACTGAAGAACAGGAACCTTCACTGATTATAACTGTATGGCATGAACTGGACAGAGACTTGCGATTAATATCCAAAAAAGTATATAGATGGGTTTGAATAATGGATAACGGGTCATTTTTATAACATTTTATAATAATTAATTTTATTTCATCTTTTAATGTGGGAGTGGGGAGATATGTATTTATATGTATACATATAGACACACACACATACACACTAGAACTTGAACTTGAGAACTATTACTCTCAGCTGTCAGTTACCTTAAAAAAGTTTGGATTTTTCTTTGCAGTTATGAAATGTAAGTGTTCATTATAGATAATTTATAAAATATGAAAAGCTGGAAGAAAACAAAACAATCTGTAGTTCTATCATGCAAAAACACCCCATTATTCACAGTTTGGTATTTTCTTTAGTTTTTCTACATAGACGTGATCATATTGTATAGTGTATATGATTTTATGTATTGCTTTAAGCATGTATTATAAATATTTTTCCATTTTATTTCAGATACTTCATTAATATTAATGTCTGTAGAATATTTCACTATGTAAATTATATTTTTATTCAATGTTTTATTATTTTTTGAACTTTTAAGATAGGAGTTTTCACTATGATAAATCATGCTTTGATGATTATCTTTGTGTGTATGGTATATATATATATATTTTTTTTCTTATTAGGATTTTTTTAGACTATATTTTATAGGTTTAAAACTTTACTAAAATTTTATGATATGAGTATATTTTTGAAGAATGGAAATATAGGCTGCAGAGTCAGAACAAACACCTAAAATTTAATACTAATAACTTCAGGCCATTACATGAAGGTTTCAAATAGGTGACTTAAAGCAGTGCAATGCATTTTATGCTAATTTTCATTATACTATTGGAAAAATAAAACCCTTCATAATGCTCAAACTTTGAAATAATGCAAATGCCCCAGATTTGTTTGAAGCCTGAATTCTAAACTGTACTGATGCTCTGGCCACACGGTGGCGTCACGGTGGCTCCTGAGCAGCAGCCCCAATGCCTTGCAGCCAGCACTTGCTCAGCCCGTGGGACTTCTAACACAGCACGAGTGTTGGTTTTGTAGTTGTTTTCTTTTTTACTATTATAATGATTTAACTTTTTTCACATCCTGTAGTAAGCATAATAGAAGCATTCATTAACTAGTAACTTCCACAGTTAGAAAATTCGAGATAATAAAATGCCCTAAAGGATGCCAGACATTGCCACAATATGTAGAGTGCTGTTAATTTGGAAGAGAGGACTGTGGAAAAAAAAACAAAAAACTAAAGGTTGTGCTACAGAAATAAAAGCAGAATTCGAGCAAAATACACAATGGTAATTCTAGATGTATGTGCTTGGAAACAAATCTTTCCTATTTATATTATTTATGTCTGATTTATAATTAAGAGGGCTTTATTCTTGTGCAGCATTCCTATGTGTGTGTACATCTGTGAAGCTTTATAAGTATTTGCAATTGTGAAATAAATAAATGTAATAGAAAATTCTGAGGAGTGGGGCTAAATCATTTTAAGAGCTGTAAACATTACCACAGCTTATTTCTAACGAGAGATTTTTTTAAATTATTTTTTTGCATTTTTAACTAAAAGAAATGCATAACCCTGGAAACACACTGTATGTAGGGCTGTAAGGAAATTACTGTGGAAAGCTATTTTAACTATATTGTGTCATAGCAGAATAGTCCCAGAAAGTTCTAGAATTGCACAGCTGGAAGAATCGTATTGCTATCTAAGACAGATACCTAATTTTTTACTCAAATTTTCTAACTTCTGCTTTCTTCAGTGTTCTTTAAAACTCTAGTCATATTAACTAATGTGTAAATCTATTCAAGAATGGCACTAAGACTTTCTGATAGATAATAGCAGTATTCCATCTTAATTGTAATTTGTGATTTTTGCCTTTTTTTAAGGTTCTCTTTGGATTCCAGCTGTGGCTGTTTTACTATTTCTAGTACTTACCCTGGTACTGATCTGTTTTTATATTAAGAAGATTAATCCATTGAAGGAAAAAAGCATAATATTACCCAAGTCCTTGGTAATGTATTTAATTTTTTTTATTATATACACTAAAAGGTTCACTTGAACCTTTTTTTGATAGCTTCTTAAATTATGTTTTAAAGCAGAATGATGCTCAGCAGCATGTCACCTGCCATTAATCGGTCAGTCTACCACATACTGTGTCTTTTGCTCTGCAGCAGTATTTTTAGTTCTCAGGGCAAAAACACAGTGAGACATTTCTCTTAAAGATCTTAAAGTCTAGTGGAAAGAAAATATAATTATACAATGGATAGATAGTGTGATAGGTTCAAAGGTAAAAGTTTATACATAAGCCAGTGAAGACTTTGTCCAGCTTTGCGGGTGGGGTTAGTCATGGTTTTTCCAGAGGCAATGTCTTAGCAGTCTTGAGTGACATACAGGAGGAGTTTATTCAGGCACTAAGGGACAGAATGTGGAAAGGTCCAGAGCCAAAGATAACAAAATAGTATCTATTTGAATGAAATATGACAGGAATAATATCTGTGATGCTCAAAGGGCACATTAAAATTTGCTATTAAAAAAACTGTCTTTAAGTAAAGTGGATAAGAACTATCAACAGTTAGTGGTCAACTCACAAATGAATTGTAATATTTTATCCTTAAACACAAAGCAACCTTGCAGTATGCCATTTTACACACACTAGAAAAGGAAAAAGAAACCTGGATATCCAGTAGTACCAGCAGTAATGGGTAAATGTGGTGAAAAATAATCTAGCCCTGGTAAAAGGAAAAGCACACTGGGTATTCAGTGGAATAGTGCCCTAAACATGCCATTGCTTTGAAGTAACATGTAGTTACTTCACTCTTAAAAATGTACTGTAAGGAAAGAATTTCATAAATAAAAAGATGTGCAGGATATTTAACATGCTCTATAGCTAGAAAGAATTGGAAACATTTCAACATCTGCTATTAGAGAAATTATCAGTATGAAGAAATATGAGCCACTCAAAATTATAATGATGAAGGCAAGTAATGAGAATATTAAGTAGATGTGCTCACTTTGCAAAAATGATATGCATACATGTGGAAGGTAATTGAATTAGGGTTTCCTAGAGGGACAGAACTATATATATATATTTAAAGGGGAGTTCATTTAGTATTAACTCACACAGTCAAAGGTCCCACAACAGGCCATCTGCAGGCTGAGGAGCAAGGAGAGCCAGCCCGAGCTCCAAAACTGAAGAACTTGGACTCTGATGTTGGAGGGCAGGAAGCATCCCACATGGAAGAAAGATGTAGGCTGGGAGGCCAGGCCAGTCTCTCCTTTCACATTTTTCTGCCTGCTTATATTCTAGCCACACTGGCAGCTGATTAGATTGTGCACACCCAGATTAAGGGTGGGCCAGCTTTTCCCAGCCCACAGACTCCAGTGTTAATCTCCTTTGGCAAAACCCTCACAGACATACCCAGGATCAGTATTTTGTATACTTCAGTCCAATCAAGTTGACACGCAATATTAACCATCATGGTAATGTACAGAAAGCAACATATATTAATAAGTTATCAGGTGGCTTTTTAAAAATCTGAAAACTTTGTTTTTAATCTTACTGTAGTATCTTTCATTAAAAAGAAAAGGCAACTATCTGTTCACCTGTTACCCTACATGTGCCGTTTGGTGGTCCATTACCTTTAGACCTTCGTTTTTTCGAGGGTAGGCACTTAAGCCTAACAGTGTTTTATCTTTAATCAATCCATTTTTCTCCCCATAGATCTCTGTGGTAAGAAGTGCCACTACAGAGACAAAACCTGAATCAAAATACATGTCACGCATTACATCATACCAGCCATTTTTCTTAGAAAAGGAGGTGGATTGTGAAGAGCCATTGTCTCCAGTTCCAGACATGCATACCGAAGACAATCCAGGAAAAGAAGAACATACAGAAGAACTTTCTAGTATAACAGAAGTGGTGACTACTGAAGAAGACATTCCTGACATGGTCCCGGGCAGCCATCTGACTCCAATAGAGAGAGAGAGTTCTTCAGTTTTAAGTAGTAACCAGTCTGAACCCTGCAGCATCACTTTAAACTCATATCACTCCAGAAATTGTTCTGATAGTGATCACTCCAGAAATGGTTCTGATACTGATTCCAGCTGTCTGGAATCCCATAGCCCCTTATCTGACTCAGAATTTCCCCCAAGTAAGAAAGCTGAAATAAAAACAGAAGAACAAGAGCTCATAACAGTAATAAAAGCCCCCACCTCCTTTGGTTACGATAAACCACATGTGCTAGTGGATCTACTTGTCGATGATAACGGTAAAGAATCCTTGATTGGTTATAGACCAACAAAAGATTCCAGAGAATTTTCATGAGATCAGCTAAGATGCGCCAACTTTGAAGTCTGAGTTTCCTGGACAGTTTTTCTACTTTAGATAGAGTGACTTACTTTAGATAAAAGTCTAAAGAGGACGTTTGGCAGTCTCACTTTTGGCAAGACATTTTCTTTTTTTAACAAAAAAAGCATTGTAACTTATGAACCTTTACATCGAGATAGGCTAGCAGGTGAACAGTATCCAGTACTCCTGGTTCTTAGATGAGCAGGCGATGTCCCAGGGACCTTTGTAGCCACTTTACTCTTTTTCTTTTCTCTGCCTTGGTATACCATTTGTTTTTGTAAGTTCTATGTATACAGTAAATTTAAGTGCTTACTTTCAGAAGAAATTCTGCAAGCTTTTCAAAATTGGACTTAAATTCTAATTCAAACTAATAGAATTAATGAACTATGTAAATAGAAACATTTTTTATGAAACATTATAGTTATTTTTAAATAAAGAATTTTGAAACTCATTTTTATATTCATTTATTCAAGCACTTAGGCAGTCTTTCATAGTTAAGCAGAATATTTTTATATCCACTGCTTGTTTTCATGCATTAATGCTATAGAATTATTTGATAATTGTTCATATTTAGTATTTAAGACAACACTAAAAATAATATTTTAAAATTGTCCTTATAGGTCTTTATTTCAGTGTTTAACACCCAACGTGCAAGAACACTGTTCCAAGTGGTTTGAAAAGAAAAGATTTAGCTGTGGAGCATGTGGATTGAGGAGTCCTTAGTATAAAAGTGGGGAGCAGAACCGTGGAAGTAGATGAAGGAACCTTGAGAATTACATGGTATGGAAAGAAATCCCCAGTGAAAGGCAAACCAAGAGTTAATATATATGTTACACAAGGATTTCTTGGAATTACTACGATGATAGAAATATTCAGAAATATGAATCTGTTAATTAATAATGGACAAAAAATTGAAATACAATTTACATGAGTAAATTAGCAAAGAAACCATATTTCTGGAAAGATTTCTGGTTTCTGGAAAGATTTTGGTTTCTGGAAAGATTTCTCTTCATTTCAAAATGCAAGTTACAAATGAGATATTAGTGAGAAAAGTAGTGGTGTGGTTTGCAGTGAAACTGGTATACTCACTTATTTTGGGGGCAATGTCTTATGAATTGCTTTTTAAACTGATATCCCAGTACATACCACATTCCACAAAAGTAGATATCCTTCAACAGACTTTGATCTCTCTTGTGGGAAATTACAAAAAAAAATAAAACTTTACATGAACAATGCACACATTAGAATGGGAAAAGCAAAAATGTGAAAATAATTGAAATAGCCAAGGAAGAGGTGACACTTACTGCCTCCCAAAAGGATTATACCAACGTGTACTCCCATCAAATGTGAATGATGTACCTGTTTTTATACCCTAGCTAATTGACTTAGATCAATCTTTAATCTCTGTCGTCTGTAAGTAAAATTATACATTAAATGCATTTCTTTAATTAGTAAAGGAGCATGTTTTCACATTTTCATATTTTCATGCCAGCTCATCTTGTTCTTTGTTCATTTTTTTATGGGCTGTTTATATCTTTCTTACTGGCTACCCTTTATTTGCCATGAGTTACAGATTTCTTTTATAATTTCTTGCCTTTTGAATTACCACACAGATGTTTAAGATGTTTATAAAGTCAAATTTATTCATTTTCTTCCATTTTTAAAAAGCCCTTCCCCTTTTCCCAAAAGATACACATTTTCAGCCATGTTTCCTTCTGGTCTTTGGTGGTGATTGTTTTACATTTAATTCTTTTAACCATCTAGATTTTTTTTTTTCATATAAGGACAGAGATAGGGATCCAAGTTTACTATTTGTTTTAGTTTCCTGCAGCTGCCATAATAAATTACCATAAACTTGGGTGGCTTAAAACAAGACAGAAATTTGTTATCTCAGTTCAGAGGCTAGAGGTCTGAAATCAAGGTTTCAACAGGGCCAGATTCTATCTGAAAGCTCTAAGGGAAGAGTACCCCTTCCTAATTTCTACTGATTGTTGCCAATCCTTGATATTCCCTGACTTACAGTTGCATGATTCCAATTTCTGCCTCTTCTTACCTGGCACTTTTCCCTGTATGTTTCTATGTCCAGATCTTTATACAGATACGAGTCAATTGGATTGATTAGACCCACTCTAATCCAGTATGAACTCCTCTTAACTTGATCATGCCTGTAAAGACACTGTTTCCAGTTAAGAACATATTCATAGGTACCAGGGATTAATACTTAAATACATCTTTTTAAGAACACAACTCATGTATTTCCCCTAACAAATTAGTGATCCCAAATACTATTTATTAAATTGTCTAACTTTTCTCTGCTGATTTCAAATATCACATGCCAAATTCTCAGCACTCCTGGAACAGTTTTGTTGTTCAGTCTTTTCCTGTCTGTGTATCACACTATTTTAATACACCATGCACTGGGATATATTTTATTTTATTTTATTTTATTTTGAGATACAGTCTCGCTTTGTCACCCATGCTGAAGTGCAGTGGCACAAACATGGCTCACTGCAGCCTCGACCTCCTGTGCTCAAGCAATCCTCCCACCTCAGCCCCCCAAGTAGCTAGTACTGCAGGTGCCCATGATCACGCCTGGCTAATTTTCTGTATTGTTTCTTAGGCACGGGATTTTGCCACATTGCTCAAGCTGGCTTCAAACTCCTGTGCTCAAGCAATCCGCCCACCTCAGCCTCCCAAAGTCCTGGAATTACAGGCTATTTTGACTTTTGAGGCTTTACTGAATACTTTCAGCCAATGTTCATCGCTCATATTTCTTAGCAATAATATTTTTCAGGTGAACTATAACCTGAATTTTTTTGGACAGTTTTCCCCCAAATTTTAAACTCCTTTGAGATTTATGTTGGCATTGTGTTGACTTTATAAAATGTTTAGGAGTAACTAATATTTTCAAGGGTCGAATGTTCTGCAAGACTGGAGACTATTTCTCTCCTCAAGTCTTCTATCCCTCATTAGAATTTTACTTCATACAAGTGTAGGGCACTTCTTGAAATGTTATGTTTTGTGTTGCTGATGAGAATGTCATCTCACATTGTGGCTCCTAAATGGCTGTCTATATGTACATGCACACAAACTTGTTACAAATTATTTTTTATTTAGCCAACATGTAAACTTTTTTTTTCATGATTTTCATTTGATTGAGTTTTCCAATATACAAATGTACTATCTATAAATGTACCCTATAAATAAGGGTAATCCTGCCTTCTCATTGCCAATATTATACTTTGCTTTTTATTCCCTTGTCCTCAAACTTTGATGAATTGGTGTAGCCTGTTTCCCAAGAGTGACTGACCAAACCTAGTGACTGTGGGAAAATCACTTAGCCTCATGAGAGAGTTGGATTACACTCTACCTTTTGGCTCTTGAGTCATTGCTTCCATTTGTGTTAATTAGTAAGGGCATCATCTTTCCAACACAGTTTTGTGTCTAAACTTAATTTTTTCCCCTATATTATTTCTGGTTGCCAGAAATTCATGTTATTGAACCATTACCCATGCCAAATTACATTGTCTTAATTTAAGGTACCATTTCTTTTGCCTGATAATATAAGTGGATGATTTAGATAATACATGCCAGCTTTGTTTGTATAGTCATTAGCTTCTTTTATGAGATGCGATACTTAATCTACCTTCCACCTCCCCTACTGCCGCAAATAATAATTTGTCTTTCCATTGATACGTTTACAGGGCTTTAAGGTTTAGTCACATACCTCAAGCTCTCTTTGCTCCAGTAGCTCCTCTGCTCAGGAGGTAAGTGTCAGATATTTAACTGAGACAAAAGAGTGACAGAGATAGGTTCTAACTACCACATTTCCAGAGTATCCTTTCTACAGCTAATAATAAAATTCTGTAACACTCACAACGTATCTCCAAAATTAAATATTGAGCAGATGTCTATCAATAAAAGGTGAATGGTGGAGAGCACTCACAGATTGGCTTCTCAGCCTTTTTAAGGAAAATTCATGGAACTGAACCACACAGGTATGTAGTCAGACTGGATGTCAGACCCCAACCCTTGGGCTATGGAAAATTTATGCTGCATAACCAGAGATGTGCCAGTCCCTTTCCTGGTATAAAAAGAGGTGGGGGTCAAAGGGATCAGTAGGTACCACACTCAATTTGAGGGGCCACTGATTCATCTGAGGTGAAGCCACTTTTATTCCACTTCTGACACCATTTTGTGAGCCTAAATAACAGCAGGAGTCTCGCTAAAAAAAAAATAGTATTTGGGAATGGATATTGCAATGGGAAAATGTAAACTGTGTGTATTCAGGGAGATAAAGGAAGACAAAGATTTTTAAAAGAAAAATGAGGGTTACCTAATTGCTTTGAGATAATTAACCTTGACTACGTAAGCCAAAAATAAAATTGTAAGCACCCCCACCCAAACCATCTGAATGGACCCCTCCTCTTGGCCAAGTGCATTCTAAAGTTAACCTAAAAACTAGTTTGGGCCATGATGGGAAGGGAGAGTTGGACGTAACTCATTATACCCTCTTCCCTTTTGGAATTCAGGAAAAACTGACCAGCATTACACTTAAGTCTGATAAGAAATATTTACAATCTATTATCTCTGAAGTCTGCTACCTGGAGGCTTGATCTGCCTGATAAACTTTAGTCTCCACAATTCCTTATCATCATAACCCAGGCATTTCTATTGATTCTGGGTCTTTAGATAACTTTTTCAACTGACTGCCAATCAGAAAATTCTTAAATCTACCTACAACCCGGAGACTACTTCAAGTTGTCCTGCCTTTCCACATTGAACTAGTGTGCATCTTACAGGTATTGATCGATATGTCTCCCTAAAAAAATATAAAAGCAAGTTGTATCCTGACCACCTTGGGTACATGTCATCAGGACCTCCTGAGGCTGTGTCAGGGGCACATCCTTAACCTTGGCAAAATAAACTTTCTAAATTTATTGAAAGTTTGTTTATTCATTACCATGTATTGGTAATGATGAAGGGATTCTTCTTTTTTCTTTTGAGATGGAGTCTCGCTCTGTTGCCCAGGCTGGAGTGTAGTGGCGTGATCTTGGCTCACTGCAACCTCCACCTCTTGGGTTCAAGCAATTCTCTGCCTCAGCCTCCCAAATAGCTGGGATTACAAGTCCCTTCCACCATGCCTGGCTAATTTCTTTTTGTGTTAGTAGAGACAGGGTTTCACCATACTGGCCAGGCTGGTCATGAACTCCTGAGCTCATGATCCACTCAACTTAGCCTCCCAAAGTGCTGGGATTACAGATGTGAGCCACCATGCCCAGCCTGATGAAAGGATTCTGAGTAAAGATGGCCCTGACTTTTGATAAATCTATTGATAAATCTGTTGGTGCTTGGGACCAGCTTGAGCTATCCTTATGGCTCAAACCAAGAGGAAAATTTGCTGAGGCCTGGGAACTCCCCCTCCAGAAAATCCCTGATCTCTCAAA